GGCGGGGCGCAGCCGCAGGGGTGCGGGCCATGGGCCTTAAGTTGCCGCGGACCGCGGGAGCTCGAGACTACGCTACGTTCGCCCTACTCGGCGGAGGGGCGGTGCCACACGGGTCTCAAACTTTGGCGCGCCAGAGACCGGAGCCACCTGGCGTGGGTATGGAAAAGGCGGACTTTGCAGCCACACCCCTAAATATTCGGATTCTTGGCCCGGGCCCAGGAAATCTGTTTTCAAGCACCTCTCCGGTGATTTCTCTGCAGGTGTTGTGTGGCCCATGCTTTGAGAAAATCCAGTGCAGAGGATATGTGGTTAGTGTATCTCTGAGGAAGCCCAGATTTTAATCTATGGCTTAAAAAAACGACCTACCGAAGGTAATAAATTTGGGAAGCTCTGGCCCTAAAGTCTAAAGAGGTGCCTCCCTGTTGGGTGATGGGTGGGCCGGGCCACAGAAGACGTTCAGGCCCACACCCTACCCTTCATTTCTTTCAGAGTTGAGCAGTGGCCATGGAACTACTGAAAAGGGTATCAGCTATATTGGGGTTGTTTATCATTGGGATCAGCTTTTGCAATTTGCTGTCGATGAGATGGGTAAAGACTGCAAGAATTGGAGGTGTATGAGACAAGATGTGCACATCAAAATCTCAATTTGAATTTAACTTTTCCTTTCAAGGTTATTGCACAATTATTTATTATACTTAACCTGCAGTACACATGTAGAGAATCAATATGAAGAATTAATGGGGACGCCAGCAGGTGGCGGGGTGGTTAAGGGCGCTGGACTCCCACGTGGTTGACTGCTGTTCCAGTCCCGGATCTGGCCGCGTGTTCTCCCCCCTCCCCCCCCCCCCGTCAAATTAAAATAAGTAAATAAATAGATAAGCAAAGCCAATTAAAATAATTCTAAAAAAAGAATTTATGGGAAATGTTATAAAAAACAATTTTTTCTTGCACCAAAATAAACTCTTACTTTAGTTGTAATTTTTCACAAACTTTAAAGTCTTCTTATAAGCCAGAAAAAAGTTCTTTGACTATCAGGCATTTGGACTTAGAAGTGCAGTGGATAGCAACATTTTTTTTTTTTAACTGTGAGCCATGGGTAAAATACAATTTAAGGTTAACCGGCTACTGACCAGTGTGGAAGATGATTAGAATAGGCAGTGGGGTTTAGCAGAGACAACAAAAAGAATTTTAATCCAAAAAACAGAATGAGTTACCCTATTTTATATGTTGTCCTTAAAAAGAAGATAATAAATAAAAACTTAATGCTCCCCTAAAAAAGATAAAGCAAGTCACTCAATGTGCTTTAAATTAGAAATGCCAATAGAATAAGCTCTGAAACCAATGAATACATGTGGATTTAAAAAAAATACTGTACCCGCACCAAAATTATATGTAAGAAACTACAAATTTTAAAAATAGCATACAGAAAAAGCCCAGTGATAAATTGTCCTAGTAGATGGGTTTACTGCTCTAATTTGATCAGTACACAATGAAAACATGTTTTGAAAAACCATTGTACTCCATAAAAATATACAACTGTTATATGTGAATTATGATAAAAGTAAATAAAAGAGCAATTCAACCTGAAAAAAAAAAAGCTGCGGACTAAAAATTATTTATGATCTGAATACCACATGGAGTTGATGGTTACACAACACTACCTATGCTAAAATGCCCTCAGTTGTACTAAAATAATGGCTAAGGATCCAGCAGATTGTGTGAAGGTTAAGGCACTGGATACCACATGGTTGGCTGTGTGGTTCGAGTCCTGGACCCAGCGGCTTAAAAATCACACCAGGTGCGTGCACCTGAGTGTCCAAAGTCTCGAGAGGAGCAGAGAAGGGATTGTGGTGTGGTCATCCCCAGGGGGTGATTTTTGTGTGAGTGCAACACCCTATAGCAAAAAATAATAACAATTAATGGGTAATCTTATGTCAGTTTTACCTCAATTAGAGAAACTATTTATGAAACACAATACTGTGCCTGGGATTCTAAGGATAATGAAAGTGGTCCTTGCTCTCAAGAAACTATAGAAAATAAGACAAATTGCAAGATATGACAAATATTAAAACAGGTTCTTGTATGTTTACCCAAGAACCCAAAAATGTTTAAGGATTTATCACACACTAGTTCATAATAGTGAAAAATGACAAAAATCCAGACTACTTTAGGGGCTATTGGTTACAAGTACAGAGTCAGAGTCTGCCTAACTTGAGCAAAACATAATTTAGTTGATAGGATGCTAAACCAAAGTCATTTGCTAAGCCCTGGGGATGACGAGTCTGTGATCTGCTCCATCAGAATCTCGGGGGGACACAATGGCACAGCAGTAAAATGAATCTCTGTGAGACAATCACACATGGGAAGGTCCCTGCATCAGGTCTAGAGAATTCTTGAGTACTCCAGGCACACATGCTTGCCCATCATCTGGGGTAGGCTGAGAGCTGGGGGTACATTGCCATGACCTGCTTGGAGCCCTGTCCCTCTCTCTCTTTCTAGCTCAAAGAAACAAACTTTATTAAGAACTTTTTAAAAATTAATTATTTTATCTATTTATTTATTTTAATTTGACCAGAGAGGGAAGAAGGGAGAGAGAAAGAGAGTGTGAGAAAGCAAGCCACCAGGTCCGGGACTAGAACTGCAGTCGGCAATGTGGGAGTCCAGTGTCCTTAGGCACCATGCCGCCTGCTGGCCCTGGAAAGAACAAACTTTAAAAAATAAAATATGGGACCAGCAGATGGCATGGTAGTCAACTATGGTTGGAGTCCCAGACCTGGTAGCTTCAACTCATTCTGGATGTGTGTGTGCCCAAGATTCTGAGAGGCGAACAGAGAAGGGATTGGATTGCAGCATGGCCATCCTCCCTAGGGGGGTGATTTCTTGCTTTCTGTCTCTCTTTCTGGCAAGCACAAGTACCCTATACCAAAAATCTCTCTTAAAAAAATAAATAAATAAATAAAATAAGGGGGAGCCAGCAGGTGGTGTGCTGGTTGAGGTGCTGGACACTCCCACATGGCCAACCACGGTTCATGTCTGGGACCTAGTAGCTCGCTTTCTCACTTTCCCTCTCTCTCTAGTCAAGTAAAAATAAATTGAGACTAGCAGTTGGTGTAATGGCTATGTCACTGGAATCCCATATAGTCGACCGCAGTTCAAGCCCTGGACCCAGTGGCTTAAACTCACACCAGGCACATGTGCATCCATGCCCAAGATCCTGAGAGGAGAATGGGAGAAGGGATTGCAGTGTGGCCATCCCCCCAGGGGTGATTTCTAGCTTTCTGTCTCTCTGTCTCTCTCTTTCTGGCGAGTACACGTACCATATAGCAAAAACCTCTCCAAAAACAAAAATAATAATAATTAATTAAGGGGTTGGCATGTGGTGTGGTGGTTGAGGGTAATGGACTCCCATGTGGCTGATGACTGTTCAAGTCCTGGACCTGGTAGCTTGCCTTCTTGTTTTCTCTTTCTTTTTTTCTCTCTCTCTTACTCTCCCTCTCTAATCAAATTAAAAAATAAATGAAGTTAAATAAAATAATTCTTTTAAGAAATAAATTAATAAATAAAATTATTCTTTTTAAATAAATAAATAAAACATGGAACCAGCAGATGGTGTAATGGTTATGTCACTGGACTCCTACATAGTTGACTGAGGTTTGAGTCCCAGACCCAGCAACTTGAAACTCATGCCAGGTGCATGTCTATGTGTGTCCAAGATCCCAAGAGGAGAATGGAAGAGAAGGGATTATGGCATGGTCATCCCCCCAAGAGGGTGAATTCCCACTCTGTCTCTCAGATTCTCTCTGACAAGCACATGCACCCTATAGCAAAAATCTCTCTTAAAATTAATTAATTAATTAATTAAATTTAAGCTGACTTTGCCACCTTCCCCTAAAGACAAATCTAATTTGCTATTCTTTGTGTAACTTGCAATTATACAGCTTACCTGTTATGTTACTGGTATAATACACAGCTTAAATGC